AGCCAAAAGATTTCTTCTCGCAGCAGCCTTTTACTTTCTCTTTGTCTTCACATCGTCGTCATCGTCTAAAACTGGCGATGTGGAGTCTACGGTCATCGTCACGTAATCTTCACGTTATCGTCCTCATCACGGTCCGTCCAAGTGGAGTCTACGGTCGAGTTAACCGGCGAATTTCTGCGATGCCGGTGGTTCGAGGCTGTGATGAGACGGCGGTTCGGAATCGTATCGTGGTTTGAGATTCTAGATTCATCCGTTCGTGGTTCGAGGCGACCTTGTTCACGAGTTTCTAAGATGGTTCGAGCTCAAGACGACGAGATCCGGCGTAAGAAAATGGCGGTTTTCAAATCTTGCGAGTTGACCCAGTGAGTTGACTCGGTCGAGTTGACTCACTGAGTTAACTCGACGATTTTTTTTTCTTTTTACTCGGTGACTCAGCGACTCGAGCTCGATGACAAGGCTAGGTTTGCGGAGCAAAACTGACTTCGATCGTTGCTTATTGGTGCAGCGGAGAGGAGAATGAATTGCTTGTTCGTTGCTTCAGAGTTACTTCATTGAATTCGTCACTAGAGATGTCAGACAATGCGAAGAAACCGTCTGCTCATGAGAAGAGAACTACCGAGGCCAGGATAGAGTCTAACGCAAGAGTGTATCAGCAACCTAGACCGATGATGTCAGTCCCCAGAGTTGGCACTACTGGAACCGTTGCACCTAGGTCACGTCGTCCTGAGTTAGAGCGAAATACTGCTGCCATCACTGATCATCGTTCTGAGTCATCGTATAGGCGCATGATAACGTGAGGAGAAGAAATGACGGCTTGGAGGCATGTCGCCAATGTTCCCGAGAAAACAACGGCAGAGATGTTATTGACATAGAGGACCTGCATAGATCGAGGCGCGCCGCGAATCCTCGACGTAATCACTTGGCAACGGATCCATCCTTTCCCTCGAGTTCAAAGGGATCCTTTCGCAGTGCTGCGCTGGCGGCGTCACATCTGTCAAAGATTGTTTTCTCAGGCACCGAGTTTCCCCCTCTTGAAGAAATGTCAAGGAATAATTCTTACTCAAGCATGTCCTTCAGTGTATGGCAATGGTTTTCTTTTTCCGTCTCCTTTTGATACTCTAACTCGTTTTCTGCGATCTTTTTACTTGGCAGTTCCTTTCTTCGCGGAACAAGCTCGCCATTGACTACGAGGTGACTGCTCGTTCGTAGACTTGTCAGCTTGCTAATGTTCAGAAGGCTTGTGATGACTTTAAAAAGCAAAAAGTACCAAAGACCGCATCGCTGATCTCAAAGCTGTCATGAAGAAAACCAAGGATAGGCGTCACGCGATGGATGGGACGTTTACAGAGTCAGAAGCTGAGAATAGGCGCTTGAAGAAGGAAGTTGTTGATCTTGCCAACCACTTAAATGTTGCTACCAAGCTTCAGGATGCGGTTTTGCAGAAAGCTGTGGAAGAAGCAAAG